TTTCATTGTCTCAATTTTCACTTTTTAGAAGCTTCTGTCATTACTTTCCTTTATATTCTACACTGGAAAAAATGTACTAAATCTTAGTGCAGCATATTTTTTCGAATAGAACTAAATAAACATTTACTTACAGTAAATAAATATTTACTCAAGTAAAAAATAATGATTAAATCAAATTAATGGTTTTTATATCAAATAAATATATATGTTTATATTTAATAAATATTTATTTAGAACTATTTAAAAAAATATTTATTAAAATTAATATTTTTTTCGGTATACTCATTTTACATTTTTTTGCCAGAATTTATTGGTGGATATGCAATGTCCCGAAAAATCATAATCCCGAAATCTGAAAATTAAATGTTAAATTACCGAAATTTAAATCGTGCGCTTCGAAATCGATCATTATACCATTTGTGTGAATGTGGTGCTGATGCTAATTTATTAAAAATATATTATAATATAACAACGTAATTCATATATTTTCTTCTTTTCAAAATAATGCACACAAAAGATATTCCCTTTAATAGGAAATATATATTAGAAAATAATTATGTGCAAAAGAGTCATAACTTTTATGTTTATACTAATTATTATAGATGTAGATGCTTTAGAAAAGATGTAGATGTAATTTAGAAAACGTTTTATATCATATTTCAATAGATCTTTCCATTGTTCACTTTTTAATTTTTTCTCGAAATCTGGCAATGAGGTAGGACATACTGGTCTCAATTATCTTCTCCACCACACTATTGATCTTTTTATATTTCGAAAAGGTACAAGGGGAGATACAATTTTATATTGATAAAATATGTATGTCTACTAATTTTTTCATCTTTTAATATGTTAATATTATTTTTTTATTAAACATTCTTCTACCAGAACTTTTAGATATGAAATATCTCCTGTTATTGTGCAAAACAGCTAGGGTTGGTTGAAACAAATATTTGTTGATGGTACATTCAAAACAACTATTTTAATATAATTATTTACATTAATGGCTCGAAAATTTAATCACGTGATTCTGAAAGTATCTACATCTGTAATAATTAATATAAACACAAAAATTATAGCCTTTTACACATAGGATAATTCTAGTATATACTTCGCACTTAACAGAAACTTAATTTATTAAATATTATTTACCATGTTTAAATAAATTATACCAGTAAAAATTTTACTCTCTACTACTAGAGTCAAAAAGTTCAATACTTTGAATAAAGAAGATATCAGGAAAAATTGGAGTTAAGTCATCATTCCACATTAATGTGCAATTGAGCATCCCCTACCACTCTGAATCTTATTAGCCTTAAATTGGTTATTCCCAAGCAGAACACAAGTTATTATGATATCAAAATGATGTCAAAATGACTCCAAAATGATCATTAAAAGTCATTTTTCAATCATTTTCGATGGCATTCATTTTAATATAATTTTGACGTTATCATGACTTGCTGTTCTGCTTGGCTTATTGTTAAAAAGCGCTAAGCGTTGGTGAAACTGGCTCAAATGGTGCTTCTCGTAAAGAATCACCATTTGAGCCAGTTTCACCAACGCCAATTACTTAATCGGCCGTGAAACTGATGACTAATCACGTTTGCTGTTTAGTAGTACTAAAGTAGTGGTTATTTAATTCTCCTTTAAAACATTATACAAAACATTATCACAAAATTGCGTTACCTCGCTCAATTTAAATGTTACCACAAAAAATTAAAGAATTAACCGTATAAAATGAAAAAATTTAATTTAAATAGAAAAATTTTTCATGTAAAAACACTTAGCGCTGCTAGATCTCGATATATAATAATAACATGGTAATATAGTAGTAAAGCATGAATGTTCCCAATGAGAGTTAAAATATCTAGCATGTGTATGATTGAGTTATAGAGTCGTGTAAATTATGATAAATTTGTGAATGCTATTAAGTTTAAATCAAAGAAAAATAAATTTAGATTTGTAAGACATGCATTATGAAAGAGAATTTATTATTACTTTTATTATTACTTTTAAATTATATTACAATTATATATTACAATAATTATTATTACGGTTAAATTATATACAATTATCTTTTACTTTTATTTTTATTAATTACCATTCCAATTTTAAATTGTTTTTATAGTTTTTCTTACCCTATCTAGCAGCGCCAAGTGTTTTTACATGGAAAATTTTTCTATTTAAATTAAATTTTTTCATTTTATACGGTTAATTCTTTAATTTTTTGTGGTAACACTTAAATTGAGCAAGGTAACGCAA